CTATTGATAAACAAAGAAATATATATACTTTTTAATTAGTAGAATTACTTTTAAACTCAAATGCGTAGACAGAAATATCAAAAAATACAACAAACTATGAAGTATTGATTTATTTCACTGAAAATATAAAAAACGCAATAACATACTACTAGTATCAACCTCCTATTAACACACCTGTTTCTGATGATCAATGCTCGATCAATAGTATTTATGGATTTGTTTTATTTCAGTGAGTGATTGATTCATGACAGATGAATTTTGGCTGTTCGGATCACCCCTCACTGATGTTTAGAACTACAACTGACCAGTCTCTTTTCACACTAGTGTATATTCTGAGTAGATTATCACTCAAACAGAACAGAATGTATTTCGCAGGAATTCTCCTACTAGCCACCATTGATATATGACATGATTAGAGTTGAATAAAAAGTTGTTGTAGAAGAACATTATGATTGTCATTAAAATAATCTTGAATTTTAATATCTGTATATACAAACCAGATGTTAATGAAACAAATGAATCTGAATCACAGAGGTTTTACCGATGATTCATATAATCCGCATGCAGACTCGATAGTTAATTCCATTCATGAATTTCATTTTGATGGCCAAGCTGGTGTGACTTTCGAGTCTTGGTTCAAGAGGTATGAGGATTTGTTCAAGGTCGACCTCAACAAACTTGATGACGCCGCCAAAGTCAGAATCCTCATGAGAAAGCTTGGCACAATCGAAAACGAACGTAATAGTAATTTCATCCTCCCAAAGAACCCAAGAGATTTCTCTTTTGATGCTACAATTGAAACGCTGTCGCAAATCTTCTCTGAACAGTCATCTCTATTTAATATTCGTTATCAATGCCTCAAAATAACTAAGTCAAGTGAAGATGACTGGGTAAAACACGCCGGCTTAGTAAATCGCGAATGCGAACGATTTAAACTATCATCAATGTCGGAAGACCAGTTTAAGTTCCTTGTGTTTGTGTGCATCTTACAATCTCCTGAAGATGCTGATATAAGAACCAGAATCTTAAGTAAAACTGAGCAGTGCCTAAACATCTCGCTTCAAGAAATAACTGCAGAGTGTCAGAGATTAGTAAATTTGAGGCATAATACCTCCATGGTCGAAAACAATGGCCGTCCATCATATGTGCATGCCGTTAGTGACAAGAAAGATTCCGGTTCACAAAAGCACAGACAACCAGCCCTCATCCCCATGCTGGTCATGTGAAGGTTGGCACTACAAAGAATATGTTTGCACTAAATGTCAAAATAAGAGCTTTACTGAAAGGGGGAGACGAGGGGCCAACTAGCCAAGTAATCACTTGATTTTTAACGGCTTACAGAAGCACTCCGAACCATACGGTCCCAGAGGGGAAGTCTGCAGCTGAAGCGATGTTTGGAAGACGTATTCGGACTATTTTTAACGCGATGTTGCCCCCTAAAAGAGTGAGTAGGTACAGGCCAAGTCCAAATATTCGCAGCTTCAACGTTGGCGATAAAGTGTTCCTAAAATCATATCTGGGGAAAAATCAATGGGAACCAGGAACCGTCTTACAAAGACTAGGAAGAGTTTTGTATCAAATAACAGGAGCTTTCGGAAGCTGTGTTAGACACCTGAACCAACTGCGAAAGGACGAAAGAATGGTACGCTCGGGTGATAATCGCGTAAATCTACCGCTGGAGTTGATCACAGAACCGACAACTACACATTTGTCCCGGAATACCGAAGAAAAGGGAAGGTCGGAGACACTAACTCGAAAAACTATGACCAGAATGGAACACCGCCGCAAACCAGTCGTAAGACTACAAGTGGACCCAAGAAAAAAATCTTATTCCGGGGAGGTGTTGGGATAGCCAATCGAGAAGACAGCCAAGCACATTGTGGATTGATGAACTATTTGATTAATGTTCAAATATTTTAACGACAATATCAATTATATGTATAATTGTATAAATACGCATGTTTGATTGTATAAATTTTTTGATTCTGTTAATAAGTGTTCTCCAACGTCTTCTGTCTTCTTATTTTTTGGAACGGTGGGAGTCTAACGTTCGGTGTTGTCATTTGTACAGTGGTTTGGCGTTACTCAAGTACAGAATATAAAAAAACATATGTATGCTAATAGAGATAGATACGTTTCATTAAAAAAATTCTAAAAACTAACTTATCCACTTTATGTCAATGTATGTACGGTGAACAGGATTAAACAGTAAAGAGCAAACAAAAAAAACAACCCAACAATATTTGGCATATTTTTTTTCATTAAATGACCACATTAATCATATTTAATAATTCATTGGAACAAGAGGAGAAATTTCCCTTGAGACAGTGTGAACTTATTTGTCTTGTTAAAAATAAATAAAATTTGTATTATTTCTAATGATTACAAGCCAAGACAAGTGTATTTTACTGATGTGCAAGTGGTTGGATAGAGTGGATGCGAAATCTAGAAGAGAGGTGAATTCCTAGGGATGTTCCTGTAGGACTCGAACTTTTGTCAAATATCTTCGTAGACTGAGATGTAACCAATGAGCTGCTACTCAGGCTCCTACTGACCTAATAAGGAAGTGAGATTTTAGATGGCACTTTCATAATTTTAAAAAGTAACATTCATTCACCAATTGCCCAAAAGCAACTTTTGGGGAAGAATAAAGGGACATCCAATCAAATAGTAGTACATTAGAAAGTCAGTGGTCAGAAACCTACTCATATCTACAGTTCTGCATCTTCCAGACAAAAATAAACCTGATAAACATCTCAACTCATCATGTTACAGTGATTTACTACGACAAGACCATTGCAAACTTCTTAATACGGATGGGAATCTCATTGACCTTATTAAAGCGAACGTGAATGAAATAGCTAAAGGGATGGCATTAGCACCTTTTCCGATGAGAAAACTTGTGAACTTTCAACACAGAAGTTAAGAAAAGTATCACATCAGATATTCGAAGAAGCCAAATTGATTTTAAGATTATCTAATGATAAAAACTACGGGCGAATACAGGCACAGTAAATTCGCCAACTCCAAATGTGCTCATTAGTTCAATTATTCTTACAGATGCAGTCATAGAGAGTGTACAGTTCAAAAAAATCAGTCATCATAACACTAAACATCATGTGACTTGAATAACTGAAGAACAATTAATGTTGATTGATCTGGTTTATCACTGATTTGGTTCACAGGTAATTAAATGAATAAGGCCATGAAAGCGATTTATCATATCTCAGCAACTCTGTTTCATAATTAAAGCGGTTTATCTTTTGCATATGACTTAAACAATCGGAATACACATTGACAAACCTAAACTTTTCACTCATAAATAAAATTTGTACAAATCGTCTAATTCAAGTAAAGATTTAAGTGAAAACAGAGTTAGATGTAAGAGATTTTTTAACTCACTTCATTACTGTATTTTTCTTTCATTTATCTAGTTAAATATACGATATGATTGTTGTGGTGTTTCGTTCACTGAGCTGGGTATGTTTTCGTTTTGTGGAGCTTTCATTGTTCTTCTTCTGAACAACAACATCACCAACACAAACTTCAGATAGTAGAAGTGAAGTATTTGAATTTCTCCACGTCTAACCCTTAGCCTATTTTTGTTACCTCTTGTTACCTGATTGGTTGCTACTGACCTAAAACCGGTCTTCTATCTGAAGTTTATGCTGATGATGTTGCTGTTCAGAAGAAGAACCATGAAAGCTTCACAAAACCGAAACATCCCCAGCTCAGAGAACGAAACACCAAAACAATCATCCATCTGACCTACAAATTTTCGCCACCATCTCAATACGATATGATTTGCTTCATTATTTGTGATAAAAAATCCACTATTACAATGTATGAATTTATGATGAATTGAAATTTGAATGTACAATGAAATACTCAGTAAGAAAAAAAGAATGATTTTCTCATTCTGATCATCATACACAATTGTTTTGAATGTGTCAGTACTAAAGAATGCTGATTAGTCAGTGGTCAGTTACAATGTAAAACTTCGTATGTAAGTACATCAGTTCAGGTTGCCAAACCACATTAGTATCCGTAACAAAAATACCCGACGTATGTTCGTAAAGCTTTGTGTTTAGCCATCATTTGTATATGATCAGTCTTTGTTAACATACAAACACATTGTGAAATCATCTAGATTTAGTTTGTAATTATAAGTTTCTTAGTGTTCGGATTATAGAGAAGTAAGGATTCCTATTTCGTTTTCTTCAAGACCCATCAAACTGATTGCGCCTGAACTTCGTTTCCGGTGCTCGTACTGACACTTAAACTCAATAATAAGCACATTAAACATTATTGAGATACTATTCCAAATGTCACTATAATTAGTCCATTATATCCGCGCTTTTCACTCCGTCCGCTTACTTTTCCTTTTCTAATGAAACTGATCAAACTATAACTCTTCAACACTAAACAAAATGTACTGTGAAATTAAGTTTTTGAAATCATCTGATGAGCGTTTAAAACTAGACAACGTGATGTGTGTAGACATTTCACCTGAAGCCCGTCTGAGGCTATTGCCCATCCCAAGCCCGGATAAGAGAGGATGGTTTGTCATGGGATTGGCGACTCGATCCTATAGAAAACTCACTCGCTAAAAAAAAACGCTAACCATTTCGATCATACAAAAAAGACGATTTTCTTTGCTTTAATAGCTGCTGTAAGATAACTTTATTCAGTATGACACTTTGAAGCTAGTTTAAATCCAACAGGAAGGATAAATCCCACTGTTTTTTCCAGATACATATCTTGATGACGATGACCAAATTGTACACTCTGTAGACTATCTCTTCTCACCACAATATTACTAGTAACTGAAAATTCTCAAGACTTGCTTAATGAGTCAGTCGTTTGATTTCTAATTTCTTTGTCATTTACTTTGATCATGAACAAATCGTCAAACAAATTACTTTTCCAGTTGTAATATTACGAAGTATCATTAAATTAATTTCCATGTTGTGTTTGTTTGTTTTGTTTCTTTTTCATAGATGATTCTTTTCGTGAATGTTTATCAAATGGAAGTTGGGCGGAATTCGCTGATTATTCAGCGTGTACACTGATTTATCCAGTAAGAATAAAATCTTTTTTTTTTCTCCCTAAATATTCAACCTTTGTATGATTTTATTACTGAATAAATTTACTAATGATACATCGAACGAAAAGTTAACAAAGGTCAATTTTGAAATTTGTATAAGCTAAGCCGATGAATGAATGGAGTGACTTTTATGCTCGTCACTTGATATGCTTGAATGCGATTACGAGTTCACTATAGTCAATAAATGAGAAAGAGACAATGAACCAGTGACACTATAGGCTACTCTGATCTGTTGCACCAACTAACTGAAGAAAAAGTCTTGATATGGTGTAGAATATGTATTCTACAAGCATCCAGCAAACACACAATGATCTCAAGCACATAAATCGCGTTTATTTATACATCATAGAAACGTTCTCGGGAGAATCACAAAAATAGCACACTTAGATAACACAGTAACCAATCACAGCCAAGGATTTTCCTGGTGAGAAATGTAATCTCAGGGTCAACCGATCAGCCCATGAATAAAATCCGAAATTAAGGCCTTTGCCAAATGATATTTGGGGATCCAATGTCCACAACAGTAACCAACGTTATAAGCTGAGCTTCCGCACCTAGTTTAGTCCGATTATTGATGACAAAGCATGATTTGTATAAATTTTATTTATCTTTTGACTGTAACATTGGGTTTTTTCCTCTACGAACATTAAATCATTAGAACTGGTCCGTGAAATTTATATTTTCCCTCATAATTTAATCAAAAATGAAGTAGGCAAAATACACTTTATTTATTACAGAAAAGATTATTAATGTAAATTTTTATTCAGTTCAAAGTAAACTTTCATTCTTAAGTTGATATCTGTTGAAAAATAAAACTATGAAGAAACAAAAAACATCATCCTAAAATTTATTTCTATTATAAAACTTATTCCATCAAAGATTAAACCTTAAAATTGAATTATACCAAGTGTTTTATGATTCTTTCAATAATCCTCATAAACTTCAAACATCTTCATTTTTCATTCAATCGAAAATTAACTTCTAAATATAAATAAACTTAAAAAATAATCGATTTCATATCAGCTGAAAATCTTGCAAAAGACCCCCCCCTAATACTGAGTACTTCATAATCATTAGACTTAAGGAGTTTTGGAGTTTTTTGGAATTTTATGTTGAACAGCAACAATTTGTTTATATATCTTCGTACTTTTACTAATTTCTCGTTTGTAAGAACGCATATATGCTTAAATTTTGAGTACAGCCTAAGCACATATTCATTCAACTGGCTTTAATGTTAGGTACTTTAATAATTCAGTTCCGCATTGATAATATATACGTGTTAATCCTATCCACTTACTACTCATCATCAACGCTTTGTTTTCGTCTACAGCAATTCATACACTGTTAGGCGTTATCTAGCAGTAGTTATTAGGACGAGCAGTATGCAGATACTGATCACTTTTTCGAGTATCCACCATGAAAATTCAAAATTAGATCGTTGTTATCTGAAGTGCAGAGCACTTTCCATTACATGATATGTTTCTAAACAGAAACCAACAGCAAGCAGTTATTCTGCAAATAATCAATTATTTGTTTGTCTCAGTACCCAAAAGTTTACTTTTTCATTGTATAGTCTAAAGATCTCCGGTTTCAACTTGAGCTACTGGTGATGAATGATCACTAGCGAGTAGTGACAACTTAAACATCTTCCATTTATGAAGTATATTTAAAGAAAATACAAAACAGGATGATACTTTCAAAATAACAAGCCTGTAAATAAATGTCATGAGAAAACCTATCCATATTCCAATCATTCAGCATTCAATATATTTCACTTTATTAAAGATGATAATTATTTTTTTTAATATTTAACAAAAATTTACCATAGAAACTTATTCACAATCACTGACCACTTTAGATTCATGCGGATTTTCTAAACACACAACAACAACAAAAAAACAGGAAAACTATTTATTCTAAGTTAATTAAAAATTAATTTATTACTGACATAATTTCAAATTTATTTTGTTTTTCCGAAAATCAATAATCAATACCAGTGATTTGAACATTGAATATCCTTTTATTTGATTATTTCATTTAACCAATTATTATATTTAATTAATGCTAATGTTTTTATTTAATTAACCAATAAAATACAAACAATTAAATAAGACATTTTTAATCGGAATTTTTTTAATTACAATAAGTAAAACAAAAAACTTTATCTGATAATAAAAATCTTTTCAAAATATATATACAGATGTAAAAAATTATGTCGAAATGTCAATGTTAGACCACCCTAAGAGACCCAAAAGCACTGGATGGCTGTTTCGTCCTGTGAGTAGCAGAGAGTGGTGAGTGCGCATTGCCACTGACGAGTCTCAGACAGGGACGAAGCAGCTGTTCAATTTTCCCAGGTTTCTAGGGGTGATCTAACATTGATCGATTCATGGTTTCAAAATATGTAACAATACAATAATACATTCTAAGTAGGAATTTTTTTAATTACAATAAGTAAAACAAAACTTTATCTCATAATAAAAATCTTTTCAAAATATATATATAGATATATATTATGTTGAAATGTCACTGAATTTTCAAACTAGTTTAATATTTATTAGTTATGCTGAAATGGTGAACAGATCAATGTTAGATCACCGTAAGAAACCTGGAATTAATGGATGGTCATTTTGTCCTGTGAGTAGCAGGGAGTGGTGAGTGCGCACTGCCGCCGACGAGACATAGACCGGAACAAAGAAGCTGTTCAGTTCTCCCAAGTTTCTAGAGGTAGTCTAACATCGATCAATTCTTGATTTCAAAGTATTTTAATAAACTGTTATATGTTAAGTAAAGTATGGAATTCTCTCTAAGGCATATTTCAGAAACTTTCCTTTACAAAATAATCGAAAACTGACAGTTGAATGTAAACAGTTCAGGAATCAACCTCCTTGTTAGCGTTCATTCTTTTCTTAACAGATTATCGACTACCGAGATGACTTGAATTGTACTTTTTACAAGTTTGAGAAGTGATAGCTCGTAAACATTTTATACACGCACCTGAGTAGACATAATTAACGTTTTAAAACAAACAAAATTAGGTGACTTGTTTTAGTATATTTTGATATTAGAAAACAAGGAGCCTAAATATTCAAGAAGGACATCAGGACCTTGTGATGCGTATTGATCAACGAAATACTACTAAACGCAAAAACTAAAAATAATACGAATTATCTTTTTATAAATGAATGCGTTATACAGCGCTTTGAGATTTAAAATGATAAACACTAGGTTTAAATCTCCATTTTAACATCGAAACTAGGGTGCAGATAAATTCAAGACGAAATGAACATCCTAAATTCCAGTGGTAGGCGCACCACACCATTAGAAACCTGGAAGGCCGTTTCGCCCTGGAATGGGACTCATCAGCAGTGCGCATCCACGACTCTTGCACCTCACAGGACTCGAACTCGGGGACTTCGGTATTGTGCACGAACGCTTAACCATTGGACTTGATTTCATATGTCTAAAAAAACACAAAAACCTCCAAAACTCTGCCCCGAAATATCGTAACAGTGCTCGTAACTAGCTTCGTGAGGAAATTCTCGGAGTTCTAGTTGAGAAGACCTGACCAATAGAGTTCAACCCTGTCGGGTGTAGGCAGTAACTGCCAAAGACAAATAGGTGAGGTCGCGCAAAATCCGTAGATCAATCAGAGTTAGACATTAACACCGTCGGATGCCGGCCCAGTGGTCCACAGGTCAGGCGTCTGCGTACAATACCGAAGGTCCAGGTTTCGAATCCTGTGAGGTGCAGGAGTTGAGGATGCGCACTGCTTATGAGTCCCATACCAGGACGATACAACCCTCCAGTGCTTCCAGGTTTCTAATGTTGGTGGTTAAACAATGATTGATTGATGATTTCAAATGTGTAAATAATAGTAGCGAATTATTGCGATCAAGGTGTTTGCTTATGTTACAGCAAGTAACTAATTAGTTACAGTGTAGAAATAAGTACACCAAACGAGTGGAAACCTTAACGAATATTTAGTGATTATCTGCTTCACTAACTAAATTCATTTCGAATTTCGCTCGGTTTTATTTATTTTGTTTTAATCAATTCAAATATAATAATAATAAAGAATAACAGATTTCTTTTTTCTTTTTGAATACCTGTTCCAAATGATTGAATAAATTGAAGAATATATATTTTATAAGCTAAGAAAAAAAAACATAAATTGAAAATTAAACCAACCTACGTTTCTTTTTTTAAAAAAAATAACAAAAATAAAATCATTAAAATTCAATAGTCAATATTATTCAATATTCAATTTTTTCAATAGTAACAAACAAAAAATAAAGAAAAATAAAAGGAAGATATTACATTACAATGTAATTTTTTTTTCTTGTTTTTAATTGAAAATATTTATGTGTAATTGAACAATGAACAATAACAAATAACAAAATTTAATTATAAGTTAAAAAATTAATTATGAACTAACTAACTAACTAACTAACTAAATTATAAGCCTACACTAAATTATTTTTCTTTTGTACAATAAATAACACAGTGTTCATTATATTCGTAAGGAAAAATGTCATTTGAATTCACTATAAGATTTTTTCTTAAGTTTGAAGGTTGTAGTGTATTTTGTTGTGATCACAAAGCCAAGCTGACTGGTGAACAACCAATGTTTTATCCTTGTAAATAAAAAAGCTTCACATTGCTACGAAATAGCTGTCTAACTGTTCCGCTGTAGTAATCATCGATGTCTAACCTTGTTTGATTGTTTGATTGATCGATATCAAACAGCTGAAGATTACTTACTTAAGACAAGTAGTATCAAGTATTCTAGTCAATAAGGAAGGAACAGTCAACTACTCATACTTGACGTTGATATATAAATTAATGTTACCTTAATGGAGCATAGGCCGCTTACTAGTTTTCTCCAACCAACTCTATACTGAGCTTACCTTTCCAGTTCTGTACAATTTTTGTTCATTCCTCTCACATCTTTCTCCATTTCTCGGCGTATT